GTTCTAGCCTAGAATAAAGAAAGGGGATAAAAGTGTGATTCCAGCCTCAGATGGGAATCTACACGGGCATTCTGGTGCCAATGCAGCCAACTTGTCAGCACCTGTGCCAGACTGGGGCCCCACGGGGCTAGGCACCCCAAGTGAGGTGGAGACGTGCAAATGCTCACACACCCTAGACAGTGTCCAGGCAGGCAGAGAACGCAGTTTTCCACCAAACTCTTTCCTCGGGACAGGAACACAGGAATCAGGCACAGGGGGTGGCATGGCCCAGTGCTAGGGTTCCCCATGAGTAACAGTTCGAGGACCTCTCCCTTGTGAGTGTAGTTCCATTTTTAGTATGAATGTATTGAGAATATACATACTTACAAAAAGCTACACGAGCTCTAACATTTTGAAATACATTTGTATTACAACAGCATTTACATTAATTTGAAAAATAGTAGTGCATGTATCTATAAGAAAGATTTATTCAGACCTCAAATAATGCACAAAGATTCAGAAATTCTGAGTTCCCATAATTTCCCAGTCTCCCAGGGTTCTTGGCTGTGGGCTGGGAAGCAATGGTCTAGCGCTGTGGTTCTCAAAGTGTGGACGCTGGGCCAGCAGCGGCACCTTCACCTGGGAGCTTGTTAGAAATGCAAATTCTCAGGCCCTGCCCTAGATGTGCTGGATCAGAAACTCTGGGGCTGGGACCAGTGATATGTGTTATTTTGGACAGGACTAAAGGAAAGCAACATGGGATGGTACAGTCCCTCAGGGCTAGCAGGGGCAATGCAAGGGAAGGGTGGTCCTAGGAACCCAGAGAGGCCTGCAGCTATGGGATGAGCCACCAGGTAGGAGCTGTGCCTTTGATGGGGGGATGCAGTCAGTTTTTGGTAACCCTGCAGGAGGAAGCTGAGCCAGTTAGTCCCCTAAACCCACTCTCCTCCTGCCACCGATCTCCTGCTGGTTCCAGTGGCTTGCGTGGTTTCATCCACACCAATTCTGCAGTTCTCCAATGCTCTGACACCAACTGGGTGTGTGTCCGACAATTCAGTTCAATCCTGGCACTAACTCTGGAGTTAGCGCAGACCCCACAGGTTAAGGGCTCAGTCCCAGAAGAGTGCTCTCGCTTCAGATGCCATCCGCGAGTTCCAGGTCCCAGGCTACCCACACTGCTGTCCAACTTGGCTACAAATCTGGGGGGTGTTCACTTGAATTCAATCATTCGCTAGAATGACTCACAGAACTCAGGAAAATACTATATTTATGTCCATCAGTTTATTATAAAGGATATAAATGCAGGAATAGCCATATGGAAGCGATGCATTAGGCAACTGATGGGGGCTTGGGGGAAGTGGCACAGAGCTTCCACGCCCTCCCTGGGCACAGCAGCGTTCACCAACCCGTAAGCTCCCCGAATCTCACTGTTAAACAGTTTTTATAACACAATCTCCAACCCCGCTCTGCTCCGTGAGGTCAGGGGGTGGGGCTAAAAGTTCCCGCCCTCTGATTACACGCCAGGTCTTCTCTGCTGTCCCCATCTTAAAGCTGCCAAGGGACCCCACCCTGGGTAGCCTGTTAGCATGAACTCAGGCATGGTCGAAAGGAGTTGTTATGAGTAACCAAAGACACTCCTATCACACAGGAAATTCCAAGCGTTTTAGGAGCTCTGTGCCAGGAACCTGGGACAAAGACCCAATATAGTTTTTATGATACCACATAGCTGAACCCAGTGGAACCTGCAGGCAGTCAGCCACAGTCCAGCAATGGCCTCCAAGGCCCAGGGCAGGGCTGAGAAAGGTGGGGAAGCATCAGAGGGGTGAGTGGACCCCTCCAGCATGCCCCGCCTTACACGCACCTGCCGTCCAGAGGGTCTTCACACCTCTATCTTCCCACCAGCCAGAGGGGAGAACAGGAAGTCCACTGTGGCCCAGCTGGGCAAGAATTCACAGCCCGGCACATCAGAGGGGGGCAGGGGCTCTCCAGCTGCACCTGGGCTCCAGCAGGGCCACGCAGCTGGTCGGGGCCAGGCTCCTGAGGCAGCTTGCTGTCCCCTGCTCCCCTCCTGCACTGGCGAGGGGTTGAGCCAGAGCTGTTTCCTCAGCCGAATGCCCATGACCTCTCTTTCCCCTGCTTCTCACCACCAGCCCTGAAGCCCATGCTTCTTTAGTTCCAGCCTGGGGGCTGTCACGGCCCCCTAACCAGTCCTCCTGGGTCCAGCCTCTCTCTGGCCAGCCATGGAACCCATAGCCTCCCTAGCAACCGCGGCTCCCAGCCTGCCATCAAGGCCCATCACCCTCTGCCCCTCGTTTGTCCATGTGCTCCTCCTGCCACCACCAAGTGCAGCCTGTGCCTCCCTGCTGCCTCCCTGCCTGCCCCTCTGGGTCAGGCTTCCCCTCCAGGACAACTTGCCCACCTTCTCTATCCCACCCCTTACACGCTCTCAGCCTTCCAGAACTCTGACAGTGACCTTGTCCTGTATATATTTGTTTACTCACATGTTTTCCCAACAGATATTTATGGGATTCTTACTGTGCCAGGCACTGTGCCAGGCACACACGTACAGTGGTGAGGACAATGGACACTTGTCCTGCCCTCACGGAGCTTGCCGTCAACCTAGCTGGGCAGACATGCATTAATAAACAAGTCATGCAGATAACTGTAATACTGAGAGAGTGACAAGTGCCACTGAGGAGCAGGATGTGGCCCACAGAGTATATAACTGGTGAGGTTGGGGGAAGGAGGTTGCTAGAATCCTAGAAGGCAGGAAACTCTTCCCCAGGGAAGTCACACTGGGCTGAAAGCTGCGGGAAGAGTAGAGAGAGCCAATGAGGTGAGGAGGTGAGGGAAGGACAGTGTGTGCAAAAGTCTCATGTCATACCCACAATGCCCCTGCCTTACCCTTGAACTGTTAACTATGGCCTTTATGAGGCCAGATCGGCTTCCAGTTATGTCTAATCTCAGCCCAGGGCCTGGTTCTTATAGGTGCTCAAATCCTTAAGTTGAATTAAGTTGATTAAACTGAATCCCCACTTCCCAATTAGGCCACTGCTGACCTTGAAACAGCCTCCCCTGACCCCCTGGGTCTGGGCCCAGGGTACTTTCAGTGACTGCTGCCATCATAAGCCACATTTGACTTTCAAGTGGCACCTGCAGCCTGAGCCCCAATGAGCCAGCAGCAGGTACTGTCTGTGGGCCGCCAGCAATATTTGCGGGGGGTGGGGGCAGGTGCAGTGACCAGAGTGACCAGCACTATCTAGATGCTGCCCTTGCAAACAGTGATCAGAGGAAGCCATCCAGGGGAAACACCCAGCATCAGAGCAGCTTCTGATACCTGACAGGCGTGTGCCTCACCCTAGGCTGCAAGGTCAGACACAGAGTGCCGGAGTCCTAGAGATGTCAGGGAGGCACTTGAGATGGCCCAGCCTTGCTGTAAATCAGAACTGTCATGGTAATGGCATTTGGATCTGAGAGCTGGCAAGGCTACTGTCTGCCAAGCAGCCCTGCCTAAGCCAACCTGTCAACTGGGACCACACGTGACTGCTTCTTGCATCTCCCTTGAATGTGGAAGAAAGGGGGAAGTTGGAGCTGGTTTGTCTTGTTCTGGCCCTCTAGGGACACCACTGGGCACAACTGTCCCAAAGCCTGTGGTGCCTGAGCCAGGTCTGGAGTGGGCAGGGCCTTTCATACTGGAGGGGTTGGGGATGGAGCACATACCCCAAGGGACCTGTCTTCAAGACAAGGATCCAACAGGTGGCCTCCACTCCCCAGTCCTGGGCAGCCCCAGCCTCCCAGCCTCTCCCTGTGACCTTCTGGAGAGCCCTGCAGTTTAGCCTGGTGTTCCTGAATCAAGCGCCATCGCTCACAGGCTCCCTTTAGGCCCTGCGCTCCAGCCAAGCTGGGCCGTGCCTTCCTTCCCAACACCTTCCTGCCCCTTTGCTCATGCCAACTGGAGTCTTCCCCCTCCATCCCAGCACAGTCTAATGCTGCCCAGCCCAAACGCCACCTCCACTACAAGACCTCCCAGGGTCTCTACCCTTAGATCTGATGTGGCATTTCTTACTCCCTGGCTTATCTCATGGCTACTTGCACACTTGTCTGATCAGCCCCTTTGGTTTGGGCTGAAGTCTGTCCCCACCTGACCATCCTTCCTCTCTCCTCCACCTCCCCTTCACCTCCCCTGCACCCAGCCTGGTGCCTTGGCCATGCTGGACACCAGTCAGCGTTGGGATGAGCGCTGGGGGCTCAGCACAGGGCGTCCGGCTGGCCCAGCGAGCCCATCAGCATTCAGGAAGGCTGCGCAGGGCAGTCTCAGAGGTGCTGTCCCTGCAGTCTCAAAGTCCTTCTTGTCTCCCAGAGGAGGTAGAAGCTTCTCGCCCCTGGGAGAGCAGAGCTGGGATGATGCACGATGTTTTCTGGGCTGTCAGCCCTCCCAGCGGTCATTACTAATCCCTAGAAAGGCTGTGCTTAGGCCATTTTTCAGGAGAAAATGTATAACCCAGATCAAGGCTGGCTCTTGGCAGAAGCAATGGCCACAGGTGCCAAGGGCATTTGTCAGGAGGCAGGAGGCACAGAAAGCCTGCGCTCCACTCCTCCCAGGGGGCGGGGGAGGGGAGCCAGCCGCCCAAGCTCCCCATCAACATCTGTTGCTTTCTGTGTGCCTTGGAATGTCCCCATCATGGGCAGATGCTGGGCCTCAAGCCACCCCACCGAAGTCTGACAGGGGAGAGGGGAGTAGCCAGCCTGGATGCTGGTGGCCCCCACGGGGACAGGGACAGAAAACTGGCCCCCTCAGGCCACACCTTCCTTGGGCGGGGGCTCTTTATCCTTACCACATACAGAGCCACTCTTTTCCCTGCCAGGGTACCTGAGTGACATGGGCACTCAGTGATGGTGACAACTTCTGTTGCCAATGCCTGCCATGCCCAGGCACTGTTCTCAGCACTGTGTATTATAATAATGATGCATCTTAATCCTCACAACAATATTGTGAAATGGTTTCTATTTTCATTCCTGTTTAATAGTTAGGGAATCTGAGATACAGAGAGATTATGTAACTTGTCTAAGATCTTAATGAGCAGGACTTGAACCCAGGACCATGAATTCCAAAGGTGGAACAGGTATTTATCCTGCTGTTTCTGTCTGATGTTCAAAATTCCACCGCCACCAGCCAGGAAAATGCACGTGCATCCTTGAACAAGTCACCTCACTATCCTGCGCCTGCTTCCTCATCAGTAGAAAGGAGCTGATTGCAGTGAGAATTCATTTTGCAAGGTGCTCAGAGGCCCAGGAGGAAGGAGAACCAGAAGACATCTGCATAGAAGCAGTGTGGGCAAGGACATGTACCAGCCCCTACAGGTGCCGAGATCTTCCCAAGGCCATGTCGACAAGGAGAGATGAGAGGGCTGGGCCATTGCCAGGGCCGGGCCTCGGTGCTGGCACATTGACGAATGAGGGTGTGGCTTGTTCTGCCTGATGATGTCACCTCTGCAACCAATCTCCCTCCATGTCTCCCAGGACACGATGTTTAATTTCTTATGAGAAACTAAATTAGGCAATAAAATAAGGAAGTCCAAATTTCATCAGCATTTCCGAGGAGAGGGAATCACTCTTATGGAAGAAACTCCCAGCTCCAGGTAGTTTTTCCCCAACAGCTCACCGCTTTACTCGGCTGCTAACTACTAACCCAGGCCGCTGGCTCTTGCCCAACGCCCCAACCTTGGACCTTGCATTCATTTTGAATTCCCACATGAGGAAATCCTAAATGCATCAATGACAGCCAGTGATTCATCTGGGAAAGCATCTGACATACTCTTTTACCATCCTCCTTCCTGCAAGACCCAGATTTGGTTTGGGTTTAGTAATGTTTCCTTTTCCTGGATGGACAAACAGGCACAGGCTGACTGATGGCTTTTCTAGGTGGCTGCTTGGTGCTAACAAAGGCTGATTCGTGGGGAGTTTAGAAAATGTGAACTATGGGAGATTTGGGTTGGAAGTGACCCCCAAACAACTCATAGTTGGATCCCTGTTGACATTTGAATCTTTGCTACCATGTTCCCAGCAAGTGGTTGTCAAGCCTTTTCTTACACGCCTTCACTGATGGAGAACTCACTACAACTCCAGGCCAGCCCAATTAGAAAGGCAGTTCTTTAGTGTTTTCATAGCCCTAATTGCTGCAGCAGAAACTCCCTACCATGGAGGGCAGAGTAGGGAGCAGGGACCACTTGCTTAGCTAATCCTGCTAGAGGCTCAGCAATATCCCCTCCTGTCAGGTCTGACGGGGCTTTAGGAGGTGATCTGGCCCCACTGCCTGATTTTACAGAGACGGGAGCAACGCCTCGAGGAGTAAGTCATCAGCAGCAGGGGCTTCCTCTAATCACATTGACAGCTAACGTTGGCTGAGCTCTTGTTATATTCCAGAAATGTTGATAACTGCTTTATTCTGTACGATCTCATTTAATTCAAGCTGCTGTTACGCACTTGTAAGTGGGTGTTATTCACATGACACATGAAATGAGCAAGGCTCAAAAAGGTGAAATAATTTGTCCAAAGTTACAGCAGCCAATTAGTGGCAGAGTCAGGACTTGAACCCAGGCCTGTCTGGATCCATGTTTTCAACTGCCCTGCTAGTCTTTAAGTTCTGTGCCCAGCTTCACATGGGGGTACGAGTGTTGAATTTTCTTCGGTGGTAGAAATGGATTGGGACTTATAATTAGGGATTTAAAGATTCATGGTAGACTCTGAGTCCATGTAAAATTCTGAGGTTGGGTCTGTGCAAATAAGAAAATTAGGGGAAATATATAATCAAACGATGGAAATCTGGTTTAACCACTTGTCCACACATCTAGCCAGTTCTTCCCAAGCTGTTCGCATGTGTAGTTATAGTGTGAAGGCCTGGGGGTACCTGCTATTCTCGTCAGGAGACTAATTTGTTTCATTTCCTGACTCATATGATCTCCAGGTGAGATCATGAGAACCTGGAGATGCCTAATATTTAGTTTACAAGCACAGAGCTCCAAAAAAGATTAAAAGCAAATTGGAGCGGAAATTACCATTTGGCTGGAAAAGAAGTTAACATGATCTTATTTAAAACAATGGAAAGAACTTTTTAGCAATTATTCTAAATTAATTTTCCCTAAGGTTAAAACTTCTGTTGAATCAAAGCTACAACTTGAGATTTAGCTGTGAGAATTGCTCTATTACGGAGAAACAGCCTTTGGGTACTTGAATTTTTCAGTACTGAGTTAATTAAGATTTTAGGGCATCCCAAGGCACTTGTCAAAGCTCTTATGTTTCCTCCTGTTCCCCCCAAGAAAAGGCAGGAGAGGAAGCTGGCTGAAGTTTCTATATTTCCTCTTGGTTTCTCAAACAAAATCTGCTGGTTGGAAGGTAAGATTTCTTATTAGTCTGGAGGCCATTTGGCTAAATGATTTTTCACATTTTCCCAGAGTCGGATTGACCTTCACTGTGGACATTTCTTTTGTACTGTGACAAGGCTGTGCTTGGGAAGAGACACTGTCCTGATTGCAGGGAACAATCTCCCTTTTGCCTTTTCTGGTGGTCTTGGAGGGAGCTCCGTGTCACTTTGCACACAGGGCTGGTGCTGCTGGGCTGGGGGGCTCTGACCATGTGCTTGGGCCATGCTGGGGCCTTCTGCTAATGCCATTCTGGCAATTTGGGAACAGAGATTCAACAGGTTAGTGCCTGCCATGAATATCCGTGGGTATATATTCATGGATATTTATATATGTGATCATGCATTGCTTAACTATGGGGATACCTTCTGAGAAATGAATTAGGCAATTTCATTATTGTGCAAACACTTGAGAGTGTACTTACACACACCTAGGTGGTATATGGTATACTATGCACCGAGGCCGTATGGTATAGCCTATTGCTCCTAGACCACAAACCTATACAGCATGTTACTATACTGATTACTGTAGATAACTGTAACACAATGGTAAGTACTTGTGTATGTAAACATATCTAAACATAGAAAAGGTACGGTCAAAATACAGTATTATAATCCTATGGGACCACCATCATATATGTGGTCAGTTGTTGACCAAAACATTATTATGGGGTGCTTGACTGTATTTCCATGAAGCTTTGGACTCTACAAATGTCTATTTGATGATAACTATATAAGAATGAGATTGATAAGTCAAATGGCACTTTGTTTTAGTCTTTTTGGCACATGTCAAATTGCTGTCTCAAAAGATTGCATCAGCTCAAACTGCCACTGGGTCTCTGTCTAGAGTGCGTGCCCACACCTTTGTCAATGTGGGGTAAGATCAGACTTTTGCATCTTTGCCAATCAGGAAGGTGAAAAATAGCGTTGGCTTGTTTACATTTGTATTTCTTTAGTTAGGAGTGAGGTTGAACATCTTTTCATGTATTTATTGGTCATTTGTTTGGACTTCTTTTCATGTCCTTGGCCCTTGTTTTTGTCCATTTTTGCTGAATTGTAAGAACCACTGACCTTTGCATTTGATGTGTTACCATTTAATGTGTTAATGGCAATGCCCTCCTTCCGGCTGCTCCCCCATGGCACATGGGGCTGAAATTAAAATAGGAAGGGGGAGCTCTCTAGGGTCCCTTACTCACATGCTGCATTTGAGGCTTGAAATTCTATGACTGGGAGAACTCGGTGTTCCTAATAATCTCTGGTTCTGAAGGAACCAACAGAAGCTGTTTCTGGTTGTTCAGTGCCACTTAGCCTGAATCGAGGGCAGGGGTGTTTTCTGTTGTCCTGATCCTGCTCAGTCTTAGGCAGGCCCTATGTGCCCCTTGATTTTGGAGTTGGAGCTTTCTCAGTAATCCTGCCCCTCTTCCCTGTGGTGGCCAAACTCTGCCATGTCTTTTAGGCTGTTCTTGTACCAAACAGTTTCCTGCCCACCCCATCCCCCATTCCCAGGGGCGGAAGACCACTAATCAGCTAGACCCTGCATGGTCTCTGCCCCTTCTCAGGGGTTGAAGTTTTAACCTTTTATTTCTCCTTTGTTTACAGTGGGTGCCCCTGTGGCAGTAGGGTTTGCCCTTTCTCTACTGGCTTAAGACCACAGGGAGAAGGTTCTGGACAGAGCTTTATGCTCTTTCCTGCTGAACCAGCTGCTCCTGCCTCCAGGACAGCACCACTGAGGGCACTTTCTCCCATGTGCCCACCTCCCCAGTGTTTCTTGAGAGCAGCTGGTGCCGTCCATGAGTACATGTGAGCTCCCCTGCGTCTGCAGTCTCCGTCTGCAAGCCCCCTGCCTGCCCACACTCCATCTTCAATGATTTCCTTAAAGTTCTAGCTGAGTTCCTCCTGTGCCTGGCATCTCCTCCAACCATGATCTGCCACCTATTGTCAGCCGGCACGCACATATTATCTTTTTACAGAAGGGCTTGACTTTTCCTAGATTTCAGGCTACCTGGTTACCCTGAAACCTCAGCTCTCTGATGGGCTCAAAAAAAGTTATGATTTTGGAGCTTTGCTGGCTTTCTGTCTTGTCATTGTTGGTCCAGCTCTTCAGCACAATTCAGCAGCGCTCAGCCTCACTATGGAGCCCTGTGGTTGGTACCCATGTCATCTGTTTCTTGGGGCAGGGACCAGGTCCTAGTTATTGATGTGTCCTTAGCACTTGGCATGAAGTAGGTCTCACTAATGCTTATGGGATGAAACGGGCTCTGCAGTAGGCAGCCATGTGGGCAGCAAGGCAGCTAGAGTCATTGGCAAAAGGAAGGTGCCCCAGGGAGGACAAAAAAACATTGAAGATGGAAAATTTTGTGCCTCAGATTCCTGTGTCTGTGCCCTTCTCCCTCTCTGAGGGGCCTGTTGCCACTCCCCCTCCCCCATCATGCCCTTCTCTGAAGGTAGGATCTGACTCAAGATCTTATCCCTGGGGGGAAATGGATGACTCTCATTCAGAAGTGTTCCAAAGTGTTAAGGGCCCAGAAAATTTTGATTCATTTATCCACCAGGAGTTTTTTGAGCTCCTTCTTTGTGCTGGGCACTTTTTAGGTGCTGCTTAATCCTGAGTCCATTCTTGGGTTTCTAAATGATTCCAACTGGTCTTCCTGCACGTTGGGGTAACCTAGCTCCTGTGATAAATACCCTCAACATTTCAGCAGCTTAACACTATCGGCATTTATTTCCCATTCACAGCATAGTCCAGTGCAGACATTCCTGGGCTTTTTCTGTCTTGAACCCTTCCCTCTGCTAGGGCCTCAGAGTCCTCTTCATTCAGCTGGTGGAGAACAAAAGAGTCCAAGGAGGAGACACCACTGCCTGTTAACCATAGCAACACATTGGTGAAATACACTGGCTCTATTATCATCTCACTGTGAAAATTAGCTGGATGTTCCCACCTAGATGCAAGGGAGGCTGGGAAATACAGTTCCTAACAGAGAAACTGGTTTGTAGCCACAACTGTATACTCTAGAAGGGACACTTCAATCTTTGGTAATGTTACCTGTCTCTGTCATAGTCTTGGAGAGATTAAGTAGACAAGGATGTTGATCACTTGGTCCCAGCAAGGATTAAGTCTTGAAAAGATCCTACAGAATACTTCACAAACAGGCTCAGCTAGAGGATATTTGGAGTGTGACCTTGGATAATTTAGAGTGTGGGGTGGGGGAGACTTGGGGTGTGAGCTAGGGAGATTTGGGAGTGTGAGCTGACCGTTTCCTATGCCTAGGCTGGGGCATGGGCTGGGGCTTAGTTTGCCATACTAAATGCAAATTCCTCTATCTAGCACTGAAGTTTTTTCATAATCTTACACTGACATACTTACCTAGCCTTGTCCCATTGCTCCTCTGCTTGTCCCCTGTGCTTGGGGTACAAGTATCCCATCACCTTCCTTACACAGCAGAAATATTCATTCATTCATTCATTCATTCACTCACTTATTAAACATTGTGTCACTCTATACAGAGGAGCACAAAAGTGAATGAGATAAGCCTCTACCCTCAGAAGTTACAGGGCTTATGTGCGATGACCTTTCAGAATGTGCCTTTGCTGGGAACTCCAAATGCTGATACAAGAAAACCTCCTTCCTTGGGGAAATATCCTTTCCTTGCCCTGCCTTTCTCTGCGTCAACAATTGCTGTAGACTCTCCAGCCTGGTTCTGCCGTCTACGCAATGCAAGAGTCCCTTCCACAGCTTTCCCGGCACCAGCCATCCAGCGTGTGCCAGAGATAGGCCAAGGTCAGCGGTTTCGCTGCCTCCTGAGGCACCTGGCGAAATGGCCTTCCTTTTATGGAACTAAACCCTGTTTCCCTTCTGTTCCTCCTTTGGTCCTGGGGGCCCCACAGCACAAATCTGCCCCTTTGTCCTCCAGGGAGATCTTCAGACATTGATCGGCTCTTGTCTTCAGAAAGGCCTCTCCCTAGACAACACCTTCCTGCTCTGAGACGCTGCTCATCTCTGGTTTTATTGCTTACGCCATCGAGGTCCTCCAGCTCCCGCGCCCACCCGCATCCGCACACGCATCTGTGTGGACTCTGCTCTCAGGTCACCACCCCTGTGCCAGGTGAGGGCAAAGCGCTACCTTGAAACACAGCCTGACTTGATCCGATAAATCCAGCATCATGTAGGGGAAACTGCAAGATTCCTCGCAGAGACAGAGACTTCGCCCTCTCACTCTTTTGATGACTTTAAGGACGATCTTGCATACATTTGTGCATATTCAGAGATGGGGTCACAAAGAGTCAAACTGAGTTTTCTAGAAGTTATAAATAAATTTGCCCTCCTTTCCTTGCTTTACTTTTGAGCATTCTCCAAATGACACTCTTTCTGGAAAAAAATAAAAAATAAATTGGCCTGAAACTCCAGGAAATACACTTAATTATTTATTTTTTAATCAGCTGAATTTCTTTAGAGTTGTAGCGGGCAATAAAAAGATGGCATCTGTTTAACTGATTATAATTTCCACCGGAAGAAGTGTGTGAGCAGCATTGTAAAAGCTTTTGCTTTGCCTTTGGTTTCTCTTTGTGTCCCACTTGAGTAATTTCCTCCTACAGCCTCTGTCCCTGGGCCCACAGGCCTGGTAAATAGCAGGCCCCAGAGACAGCCCAGGAGCCAGCAACGTCCTGGAAATCGGAGGCCACCAGGTTAAGCACAGAACCTCTCTCTTTCCAGGAAGGAATGACCGAATCAGAGCAACGACCTTGGCTTTCAATTAGTCCTTGTCCAACTTTTCCCACTCTTTTCCTCTCTGCAGCCCAGCTGCAGTGCCCCAAGCCACTGGGGAGCTGGAACTGTCCCAGCACTCCCCACCCGCAGCCCCCGTTGCTGCAGAAGCGCATCCTGCCTTAGGCCTGCACCTCAGCACCTCCTCGAGTCTCTACAAAGCCCAGCTGAGTCAAGCTTCCTCCCCAGCTCCGAGAAGAATGCCTGCCAGGAAGTGCAAATATTTAGAGAATGTAAAATACAGTATTTTAATGGAACCATTTTCACCTCCTTTAGAAAGAGGATGTAGAGATAGTTGTTGGTCTATCTGCAAATTAGCCTTGTTCACACTAGAGCACCTTCCTGATTTCCACACAGCAAACTCTTAGTCCTTTTTTTTTTCTGCCACCAAGAGATTTTGGCCACAGTGATTTTCTCCACAAGCGCGGTCCAGCGAGACAGGCTGCTGAAACGCAGGCAGTGCTGTTAGTAAAGGGACCTGCCTTTGGATGTTCTCCCGCAATTACGGTGCCAGCCGTGTCACAACAAAACCTCAAGCAGGGTGTCAGAATTTATTTCTAGATAAGAGCCTGGGCTTAAAACAAAACCATGGTGTTAGCAGCAGGATGGGAGAAACCCTAGAGCCTTTTTTGCTATTTGGCTCCAACACAAGTATATAAAGTTTTTGATAAGATCTTCCTTTTAATTGCTATTCCTCCCATGGTAAACACCAAACCCTCTCCGGTCCATGCACTAGAGATGTTGCCAAGAGTAAAACTGCATGATTTTGCTTTGTCTGGGATGGGCTGTTGGATCAGTCCTCTTCTTTGTTGAAAGAGCGCTATTTTGACATCATATTAATAATAAAGATGCTTGCATTAAACAATTAAAATAATAAAGCAGAGAGCATAATTCACATCCCTGGGCTTCTGAGCTCCCAATATTTCACTACTTTGGAATTAAAAAATAAAATAAAATTCCTTTTAACAGTATTGGCTTTTCCAGATGAAACTGGGCTATACAAACATACTTTTGAGTATGTGTGATTTCACTTAAAACCTGTGCCCTGGCTCAGAGACCTGATGCAAAATCCAGTCAATTCAGGGAAATGGATAATCCTCACTCTTGGATCACTTTAAGAAAAAGAGGTCAGCCTTACTTGAAGCCAGAAAAAAAACGCTTTTTTAGAACTGAAGCCTTCTCTGCAGCGTTTGATCCCTGTTATTACTTCACTGAGCAGGGAGCGAATGTAGGGAGGGAGAAGCCAAGTTACTAGAGCAAAGTTCAAGGCTCTTAGACTCGCTTTCTTGCTCCTTCCAGGTCTAACCCTCAGTCAGCACTTGCGGCTGAGAAATGGGCTGGGGGGTGGAATTTGAGCACGATTGCATATGGGTATATGCTTTGCACGTGAGGAAGAGATTGATAACATTTCTTTGACTTTGAAAATGCCTTTGACCTCCGCTATACTAAAACCTGCTTTACCAGCTGGGGAGACAAATATGACCACATCTGTTTGTAATGTCCAAACTCATTCCTTTAGCCACCCCCACAGCCAGATTCACAGGAAGTCGGTCCCTCTCAGGACTTCCCACCTTGTTTGTCCAAGAATTCTTGGGCTCTCTCAGTCTAAGGGGCTTGGTACGGGCTGAAGAAAGAAAGAAAGGGAAGACCCTGATAAGCCCCCAGATTCTCCACACAGCTGATAGGAGTGATGGGAGTAGGTGGGCGCTGAAGTTCTGTTCTTTTCTGACTCCACATCCAACGCTTCTCCTGGCCGATGGAGACCTTGGGGGAGGATCTGCTTGGAGTCCTTTCCAGCCAGCTCACCCCAGGCCCAATCATCTCAGCCCATCAGAGATCTTCTAATAATGTGAATCTTCAAAATGATGGAGTTGGGGTTGCTTTTCAGCAATTCCTCCCTCCCAGGAAGCTCCTTGACCTCAGCAAGTTTACCAGCCTCTTCCCAGAGGAGGGCAGTGGGGTGGAGGATGGACATGCTTCCACTTGGTTTAGAAAATCTTCAAGCTTGTGAAGAATTGGCCACCAAGGGAACCCCAGAGAAACCTGAAAAACTGAGTTCCTGGCCATGACAGGGTGGGAGATTTGACATGCCTCATTATACCCCATCCCTCACTAACCTCCACTGAGCTTTCTCTCCTAAGTGTTAGACGGAAACCAGCCCAGTTGGACTCCCCTCCCTTTTTGCGGTTTCAACACCGCTGACTAGCATTCCTTCCTGATAAGAGACCATGGACCATGGACTGGTTTGGGCTGGTTTACAGAGGCTGCACACAGGATGCCTCTGTGTCCTCCATTTCACCTTTTGATATAGAGAACCAAATTTTAATGCATTTAAGTGTTAAGTCTCCACCCCAAAGTGAACATGGAATATATGTAACAAACATATTTGCTTACTACGCATGTATGTATCCCCTCTCTGTGACTGTTCATAGTACCTTCCTATAACCTGTTAAGTATTAATATATATACTTAGCCAACCCATTTGGCATGCATTCCTGTTCCACCCTGTCCTGCTTTCCATCTCTGCTGGAGGCTATGCGTCTCAGCCTGCGAGATGGCCAGTGTGCAGGCTGCAACCCTTTGTAAGAAATAAAGCTCCAAATTTATGGGTCTCAAGTTTTAAGATGGCAAACATTTTTGACATACATAGGAATAGTACAGGAATACTACATAGATGGTATTGTTTACTTCCCATTGTACTTCAAGGTGGCAGGGATGTGGTTTGGGGAACCTGATGTCTGTCCCATTATAGGTGATGTTAAAGCTTGATCATTCAATTAAGGTGATGTTGTTTGATTGTTCAGTTAAAGTGATGTCAGCCAGATCTCTCCTCTGTGACTAAAATACAATTCCTCTTCCAAACTAACCTCTAAACATGACACAAGATTGAACATTATTACAAACACACAAAAAAGACAAAGAAGTTTAAGATGAGGGATAAAGGAGAAAAGAGTCAGTGAACCTGAAGAAAGATTAAGGGAAACCATCCAATATGAACATCATGAAAAAAAATCAGACAAAATGAACAGAGCCTTAGTAAATTGTAGGATGTTATCAAAAAATCCTAAGATACATGTAATTGTGGTCCCAAAAGGAGAAGATAGAGATAATGGATCATTTGAAAAAGCAGTGACTAAAATTTTCCAAATTTGGGGGAAATACATAAATTTAGTAAATAAGTTCAGAGAATTATTTTCTTCCTCTCCCAACCCCCAGTACACAAAGAAAACCACACCTGGGCACATCAAACTGCTGAAAACTAAAGGCACAAAACTTTCAAAAGCAGCTAGAGAAAAATGACATCTTATATGCAAATAATAATGTCAGACTTCCCATCAGAAACAATGGCCTCCAGAAGATAGTGGAATGGATCTTTAAAGTGCTGAAAGGGACTTCTGGTTTCAGCTCCAACATGTAAAGAGCTTGGAAGTCCTGACTCCCATCCTTACAATATGAAAAGGCTGAGCAAACTGAAATTCAGCAACTTTTTATGGGCTCATCAGAGAACTGAGGTATCAGGGCAAATTGCCACCTGAAATCTGTAGAGACATAGCCATTAACTTAAAAAAAAAAAAGCAAGATTTATATATATATATATATATTTTTTTTTTTTTTTTTTTTTTTGAGACAGAGTCCCGCTTTGTTGCCCAGGCTAGAGTGAGTGCCGTGGCGTCAGCGTAGCTCACAGCAACCTCAAACTCCTGGGCTCAAGCAATCCTTCTGCCTCAGCCTCCCAAGTAGCTGGGACTACAGGCATGTGCCACCATGCCTGGCTAATTTTTTCTATATATATTAGTTGGCCAATTAATTTCTTTCTATTTATACTAGAGACAGGGTCTCGCTTTTGCTCAGGCTGGTTTTGAACTCCTGACCTGGAGCATTCCGCCCTCCTTGGCCTCCCAGAGTGCTAGGATTACAGGCGTGAGCCACCGCGCCCGGCCAAGATTTATATATTAATAATTTGGAAAAGGGGAGCTTTATTTCTTATAAAGAGTTTACAGCCTGCAGTGGCCATTCGGCAGGCTGGGAAACAGGGCTCCCGGCCACAAGCACATGTGCTTCAAGGGAGAGACAAAGAAAGCAGGATTTTATACTGAGCGGGGTGGCTAAATGTACGTGTTTAACAAGCTATAGAGGAGCCATAAGTATTTATAAAAAGAGAACTCTGTGCCTGTGCAGTGGGGCTTTCTGCCCTTTTATAGGGTCCATGTTTAAAACTAGCTACCCTCTTTGCCAAAAAGGTGAAACATGGACACAAAAATCCTCTCTGTGCCTGTTCTGAAGACTATTAAAACCTCCCATGGTTGGTGGTCTCTTATCAGGAAAGAAGGCTGGTCTGGCCCTTAGGAAATAAAGGCTGATGGTGAGCAAGGGAGGGGCAAAATGATGCATGTCAGACCTCCCATCCCATCACAGCTGGCAACTCCGTCTTCAGGTTTTTCTGGGGTCCCATTGGCCGAGAGGGGTCTGTTCAGGCAGTGGGGGGTAGGGGACACCTTTTCTTTTTAGTTCACACAGCTAAGATTTGCTTTCCTAGAGCAGAAGCCACAAGAGCCAGAAGCAGCTAGGACACTTAAATGGTCATTTTGATGCATTGCTAGAGGCGGAGGAAACTAGTGTGAGAGTGAGAAACTCCTGGGGGAGACGTCTTAGTGGGCCACACATGTCTGTGGGTTTTACCTCCAGGAACCCACCAGGTTCTCATGGTGAAGAGCCAACAAAGATACCTGATGGCTTTGGCGGGGAGAAGGGAGCAGTAACCATTGTGAAAAGAGCATTCTCCATAACAGAGACTGACTCTTTAAGGAAAAACACTTTACCTGAGCCTTTTCTCACCTGGGGGAAAGGTAATTCTCCTACTCCTTTGTCTCACCTAAGGGGCCAGTGGTGGTGAGAAAGCTAAGAGACATCTGTGAAAGTCACAGCCCAGGGACACAGACCTACTAAAACATTGTGATTTAATCACATGAGTATAGAATGCTTCCCCTCCCTTACAATTTACCACTGTAGGGGCCAAAAGGAAACTGCCCCTGCAGCCTCTGAAGGCTTGCTGAAAATCAACTGAGAAAGTCAGATTAATGGGAGAAAAAGGTATACACATTATTTTAATGTGCATAGCATCGCATGGGGGAATTGCAGGAGAATGATTACCCAATAACCCAATGGGGTCCAGATGCCTATATATCTTTCTTCACAGGGGAGGGAGGACATAGGGAATGTAGATACTTCATTTGAGGGGCAATGAATGATTATTAGGGAGGACCTGGGAATGGACCTGGGAAATAGAAATCAACCTGTATATGATTCTCTTTGAAATTCGAATGAGCCTAAGAGACAGACATTATCTGATGAGAAGGTTCATCATGGTGTAGTGACAGTCCTCAGTCTTCTTTTTCTGCCAGGGTTGATGAGACTTCGAGGAGGGGATGGGAAACATTCCCAGTCTTTAAGCAGATAAGAGAAGAGCCTCTTCCAGCTTCTGCTGATCTCCAAGAGCCTTTAATTTAAAATGCTCATCACATCAGGGCGCCCCATTTTGGGGTGAAATTATTCTGGTTTCCTTCACCATCATTTCAAAATGGTCCAGTATAATCTCAGTTATCATAGCTGAAGGAGTTGAGGACACAGATTCTTTCTGAGAAGGAGACAAAAATAAGGACATTATAGGGATTTGAAGCTTCTCACCCCTACAGCTACAGAAAACATTAAAAATAGCCCAACTTCTAGCCAGATTAACATAAAACCTCACACTAACAGCCTATTTACCTCAGTTCCATTACTCAATACATCATGTCTGCCTTTCAGAAAAATATTATTAGCTATGCTAAAAGGCAAGAAGAAGCAAAATCTGAAAAGACAAGGCAAGCACCAGACCCAGATATGATACAGATGTTGGACTTATCAGATTGGGAATTTAAAATAACTATGATTAATATGTTAAGGATCCTTATGGAAAAAACAAAACAAAGTACAAGAACAGATAGAAAATATAGGCTGAGAGATGGGAACTCTAAGAAAGAATGAAGAGGAGATGTTGGGTTGTAGTTGTCTGTTCTCTGTTCTTGGTGTGTTCTTGGCCAAAGAATGACCAGAACACCAAAGTAAGGCAAGCAGGAGGTGAAGTTTATCGAGTAAAGTAAGATACATTTGCCACAGACAGTAAACAGACCCCGTAATAGGAAGGCCCCGATTATGGTCTGGGGTCCTATTTTATATTGCCTAGGCTGGGCCCTCCTTGTGGTTCAAACGTCACCATCAAACCACTGTGATGGACTGTCAGGAGTTATATAACCTGAGTCTTACTGTGCATGCAGATCTCCCATGAGCCTCTCAGAAAACCCATTTGGGGGGTGAACCATAATGTAGATTTAAGCTAATGACTTGATAATTAGCCTTAGGTAGTTCTAGGTCACTTTCCAGACCCTGTTGTTCCTGTGCTGCTTGGCCCACAGGCTCCAAATCCTATGCATTCTTTTGCAGTTGGCAGGCTAAATTCTGATTGGCAGATTAGTAGGGCTTTCCCTCCTCCCCCAGGTGTGGCAATTACTCAGGGTGCCTGCCTTTGCCCCAGGAGGTCAGAGGTCCCCTACCTAACACAAATATTAGGAATAAAAAGAAAACCCACTAACATAAATGAAAACTGCCTTTGATGGGCTCATCAGTACACTGCACATGACTGGTGAAGAATTAGAGAGCTCGAAGACAGGGCAATAGAAACTTTTCAGACAAAAGTAAAAAGAGAGAAAAAAAAATTAAAAGCCAGAAAGAGAACAGACATCTAAGAACTGTGGGACAATTACAAAGGAGGTAGCATATGTGTAATTGGAATACCATAAAGGGAAGGAAGACAGAACAGAGCTGTAGAAATATTTAAAGTAATAATGGCTGAGAACTTTTTCAAATTAATGACAGACACTAAACCATAGTTCTAGAGATCTCATAGAACATCAAGCATGATAAATACCAAGCAATATACATCTAGGCATATCATATTTAAACTACAGAAAACTATTGGGGCCAAGGGAAAATTTCTCCTTTGCTCTCTGAAGGTTTGCTGAAAAATCAACCCACGATAGGCAGATTAATTGGAGAAAAGGCATACAAATTTATTTAATGTCTACATGGGAAGCTTCAGAATGAATACCCAAAGATACAGGGGAAATTGTCCATTTTGATGCTTAGGTTTGTACAGGAAAATATAAATCTCAGGACCAGCTCCCTAGCTCCTTATGCAAAAGAGAAGGTCAAGCCTGGAGGCAGAGTTATGCTACACCCCCTTCCAAATGAATAGTTCTTACTAACCTTATGCATTATCCAGAACCACCCCCCAAGGTAAAAGGCCTCAGGCATCTCCAAGAACTGCCCCCAGAGGTCATTCATAAGGCGATTCCTTGCTGGCCTCCCATAAACAGGGACATGCAAATTGTGGCTTTAGGTCTACAGGCTAAGTCTAGCTCCTAAAACTAAGGTCTGTTGATTTCACACTAATAATGTTGATTATAAGTTTATCTTCCCAGGTGCAGAACAGAGACAAGACAAGATCAATCATTCTTCTACTTACCCATCTACATAATTGATGTTTCCTTCACTCCCTTTTCTCTTAAAAATTTACCTTACCTTATGTAAAATGTAGAACCATTTGCCTCACAGCCCATCCCCCTCCTTTTTTTTTTTTTTTTTCTTTTTGTGTGCCCTCTGCCCTTTAAATACTGAATTTCCAAATCCTGCATTGGAACAAACAGTCACAGATGCATCTGTGGCTTGTGTTTTTCGCAGGCACCTCCTCAAATTTTGGCTTAATAAACCTCCATTGATTGAGATCTCAGCCTCAGTCACTTATTTTGGGTTATCATCTACAAACTATGGTTAGCCATGTAGAAATATGATTGGACAAAAAGAGTATGATCTAATGCTAATAGACTGAGTGGGGGACCCCCGCAAGGCCTGTTTATCTATATTCTTCTTGGCCTCTCTGAGCATGCATTGCCTCCTTCTGTGAATGGGGCAGGACCAGCTCTGGAATGGGGTCTGATAACATACAGTCAATAAAGGTAGGTCAGATAATTTCTTTATGGTCAGTTTTCACACAGAGAGGCAAAGAGAAAGTTAGAGTGGTATTTTTAGGTTTTATGGCTGGCTTTGGGGAAAAAGGGTTCTGGTTTCTATGACTGCCTTGGGGAAGAGAGATTCTAGTTTCTCTGGCTAACCTTGGAGGAGAATAAAAGGCAGGAGGGCAAGAGGAGGGCAGAGAATAACTTTTTCTTCTGAGGTCTTCATTTTGGGGTATTTACTGGGGGAGGGCAGAGAATCTTAACTATGAAAGAAAAAGGAGAAGAATTTTAGCAGACTTCTCTTCAAAAGCCATATAAGTGAAAAGGCAGTTGAGTGAAATATTTGAAGTATTGAAAGAAAAAAACCTACCAGCATAGAATTCTATATCCAGTGAAATTATCCTTCCAAAGTGAAGGAGAAATAATTTCTCACACAAAGAAAAACTAAGGGAATTTATTATCAATAACATGCTCTGAAGAAATGTTAAAAGAAGTTCTTTAGGAAGAAGAAAAATGATATAGTCAGATGTTCAGATCTACATAAAGAAAGGATTAGAGAAGAAACAAATGAAAGTAAAATAAAATCTTTTATTTTTCTTATTTTTAATTGACATAAAAATAACCATTTGTTTAAAGTAGCAATAGTAACAATGTATTGACTGTTGGCACAATACAAATAAGCGAATGACAGCCATGTCATAGGGGGTGGGAAAGAAGGATTAGGAACACTCGATCAGAAGGTATCAGCACTACATGTTAAGTGACATAGTGTTATTTGAAGGTATACTTAGATTGGTTTAAAAATCAATGTAAACAATGGAGCAACAACTAAAACATTTAATGAGGAAGCATACTTGACATTCTGAGAGAAGAGATGAAATGAAATAGTATAAAATTACAACCATAAAGGCAAAAAAGAGAGGGAAAACATAACAAAGAACAAATGCAACAAGTAGAAAAAAATGTATAGATAGACAAATATAGTACATATTAATCAAACTATAGCAATAATCACTTTAAATATGAATGATCTAAATACACCAATTAAAAGACAGAGTGTCTGACTGGATAAAAAAATAAGACTCAACTATATGTTGTCTACAAGAAAACTTCCACTTTACATATAAATACTCAGATATATTAAGAGCAAAGAGATGAAGAAAGATACACCTTGCTAACACTAATCAATAGAAAGCTGGCATAGCTTTATTAGTTTAAGAACAGTTCAGAATATGGAAAATTATCAGAATAAAAAGGGGCATTGTATAATGATAAAGGAGCCCATTCTTTAAGAAGACATAGTGATCCTAAATATGTATATTTCTAACAAGAGAACATCAAAATATATGAGGCAAAAACTGATATAGTTCAAGAAGAAATGGACAAAATTCACTATTATAGTTTGGACACTTCAATACACCTCTTTCAGAACTTGATAGATCAAGCAGGCAGAAAATTAGTAAGAATATAGCTGGCCTGAAGGGCACCATCAATCAACTTGGTCTTACTGACATTTCTAAAATACTCCATCCCCAAACAACAGAATTTACACTCTTCTCAAGCTTACATGTAACATTCACAGAGGTACACCATGTCCTGGCCATAAAAAAAGCACCTCAACAAATTTAAGAGAAGAGAAATCATACAAAGTATGTTCTTCGCCCACGGTGAAATTAAACTACAAATCAGTAACAGATATAGAGCTGGAAAATCCCCAAATACTTGGAGATTAAACAACACACTTCTAAATAATACATGGGCCAAAAAAGAAGCCTCAAAAGAAATTTTTACGTATTTCGAGTTAAACAAAAATGAAAATCCAATTTATCAAAACATGTGGGATGCAGTGAAAGCTGGGACATTTATAGCATTGA